TTAAGAAGTGCTTCTGGACTTTGTTTGAGTCAGAAGTATCCACCCCGAACGCGTCTTTTTTGAAGACACCAAAAGGTTTGGTCATCCTTCTCAACTCTTTATCCGGTTTAGATTCAAGTAAGGGAGTTTTTGACTTTGATTTTGACTTTTTCTTTACCATAATGTGTGAATGAAGAAAAATAGAGATACGACAAGAAAGGGAATAGCGAACTCTAGCTCTAGACAACAGGACAGCTAGTTACATCTCGACTATGGGATTTACTCCGTTGGCGGAGTTACTTGTGACAAGAACGGTTTCAGGTCTGTTGGAACTTCTACTATTACCTCTTTCCACCACACATGTCCGATAGCTTTGCCTCTAGACAAGCCATCTGTGTTGTTATTCTTGGACGTCACCCTCTTCTCCTTTATATTGCAGCCAAGGACTGAAAGTAGCCACTGTATCTCCTTCCATTCATTATTCACCCTCTTATCCTTACACTTCCTCTTACGAATCGTGTTCTCTGTTGTAGTATTATCAGTTTCTACCCAGAAAGACCTTCCCCTCACGCTTGTCACCTTACTCAGAACTAGAAGACCCAATCTCACTGCAATAGTCTCAGCCCAAGCAATCAAACATTTCTTGTTTTGGAGGCCTAGGACCTTCCAATCTTCTGAAAACCTGAAACAAGCCCAGTGTTCGCCAACTAGGATTCCTACCCTGTGACCCAAAGCAGAACATTCAAACCGTCAAATGGGGGGAAGTGCCAACCTTCAGCAAGATGAATTGGGATAATCTCACTGTTCACTCACCCAAAAGGAGACGAGGCATTGCCCACCCACGCAACGTATTCTGTTGGGGGGTCCTTGACCAAATGGAGGCAATCAAATTCTTGTAAGCAGAATTTCCACTCCTTAAGGTCCTCAATCACATCCTCAGGTGTTTTCCTCATTGCCCGTCTCTTCTTCCAGCTATTCCGCCAGCGGTAGAATGATCGTAAGTAAGCCGCCATGTGTGGAACCACATTGACCGTATGGCATAGCCAACCCACCAGTACGTCGACCTGTTCGTATTTCCATTTAACCCCTGGTTTGAAGAAATCTAATACCTGATCCAGTCTCTGTTTCAGTTTGTCTTCCGGTAACCTCACTGTATGTTTGACTCCATCCCAAACGAAACCCAAGTAACGCTGACGTTTACCAAATTCCTTGTTTTTCTCAGGATTTGTTTTCACACCCATTTTGCCACTTAAGCCGACAATATCCTTCAAGGATACTCCTGCCTCTGGTCGCTTGAAAAGGAGATTATTGTCTACCCACCGAAAGATTTTGGGTAAGTTCAGAATCCTTTCCACAACCTCTTTCCATACCTCCGCCGGACCTCCAAAAACACCACAGCTAGCAACCCCTCCAAAACCCACAGCTAAGTCGACCCAGACTCTGCCATAGAAATTGACAATGCACAAAAACCGCCTTTGACTAGGGTGAACCCACAGCTGATGGTAGGCTTTTGCCCAATCTACTAGAGCCATATACCAGGCCCCTGGGTTGTTCTTGAAGAATTCCGCCACAACTTTGAAATCATCCCATTGAGTCGTATAGTTATGTTTATCGACGAAGGAATTGACCGAGGCTATTTCTGGATCTTCCTGGGGGTGTGACAGATCATTAATGAGTCTAAGCAATCCATCCCCATTGGGTTCAACCGGAAGTAACCAAACTTGTTGTAAACCTCCTCGTGCGTGAATGGTCCAAGAATCCGACCTTCCTTCTTTTCCTTTGCTAATGTCTTCTCTATTTGATCTTTCACCGCAAGAGCCAAAGAATGATTATCTGGGGTGTACCATTTCCTATCCCCAAGCAAGTGTTGTGGGATTCCAAGACAAAACCCTTCTCTGAAACCGTCCACAATATAAGGAATCTCGTCGTCCAGACCAACTAGTTTCATCAGTCTTATCCACTTGCTGACGTTCATGTTGCATCTCACTGGGCGTGGCCAGTACGTTGACACCTTCGCCTTGAAGAGTTGTTGTCTATGCAGTGGAAGCACCCTCTTCTTCTTCTTATTCTCATCATCCGACAAGGAGTCAGGAGAGTCTTCCTCAGAACTCGCGTCTAAATCGTCTGCTGATTTGTGTTCTGAATCTGTTTTCTGCGACAAAGGTTTTGTGCACGGGATGGCACTCTGGCGAGCGTCTACCATGCCTACACTCGGTTGGCACCTCAACAATCAAGCCTCCAATATCCTGGGCACAAGTGGGACTTCAGGGCTGCACTCTAAAACGAAGGACAATAGAGAGGAATGCACAATTTCCACTGCCAGCATTAAAGAGGTTCCCAGATGGGAATATGGGTCGTAGGAATCAAACAGCCTTTGTGACTACATATAGTACAATGGCGGTCTGATCCCCACGACCCATATTCCCATCTGGGAACCTCTTTAATGCTGGCAGTGTTCCAGCCAAAGCAAAAGGGGGTACAGTCGAACCCGCGCAATCGCATAATTTGGGTGGAAGACTTTTGCTATGCATTTTCACGGGTTATGCAATTCCATTGTCAAATTTGGCAGTAAAAAGCATCAAGATTAAGAATTTTTTCTATGCATTATCACGGGTTATGCATCTGCGCGGGTATGCAATTGCGCGGGTTTGACTGTAATTCATTTCAAATTCAAAAACCTCCAAACAAAAGTTCTATGCCTCTAAGTTATTCTGATCACCGCAATACCCACCATTTTAACAGGTACAAAGATCTATCGTCAAGTCACCACACCGTAACCAAGGTTAATCCGTGACGCATCCATCGCCGTTGAAAGACATAGCAGACACAACAAGGTCATCCATTCTCGTAATTTGGGACGGTCATGGGATAACGATGGAGAAATAGAGGGGGGGGAAGGAGCAAAGAGAAACACCCGTGAGTAAAAGGAAGACCAAACTCTGATCCATCCCTTCTCAAATTTGGCTTACCAATTATTATCTCTGCCATGCTTGTTACCCTTGCCATGGTTCTTTCCTCCTTTGAACGGAGTATTCACTTGCCTATTCGCGTGCTGCTGCCCTTGGGCAACCCAGCCTTGGTTCAAATGACCCGCGAAATTGGTGTATCCATTAAAGTTAGGAGGACCTGCGAAGTTAAAAGGGCCAGCTTGGTTCAAAGGACCTGCATGGTAATTCATGGCATACGGTTGAGGAACATAAGGTATGTTCAAAATGTCTGCTTGGCTTTGGCCTCTACCCCTATTTCCACCTCTTTGTCTCTTCTGACCACTACCTCCTCCACCATCTCCCCCATAAGGCTTCCCTTTCCAAGACCAATCATTCTTTGGTTTAGCAGGCTCTACTGGTTGCCCTGTACAAAAATCGTAACCGAACTTGGGTTGTCCGACGGCGTAAGGATTTTCTTCACACATTAGATCTCCTGCCAAATCAGCTTCCCATCTCGCTACCCGTGCCGCCTCCTCTTGCAAGCCTTCCGGTAACACCATTTTCTCCACCTTTTTCCCCTTCCGCTTTTTCTTCTTATCACAAATCACTCCTGACCTTTTTCTGAAAATGACATTTCTAATTGCTATACACTGCAAAAATAATGTGTTTTTCCATGGCAAAAAATGATTGATTCTAGCATTTAAAATGCCTTGCTTGATATTGGCCCAAAAAATCTGAAAAAATCTGGTAAGGCAAAATGTGCTATTTTCTTCCAGTTGGGAGATTTTGGTCATTGTAAGAAAATTCTAGCACTCAGTTTGTTGATGTTCAAAATTTTTGTGGATCAACACATAAATTAGGGTATACAAATATGGTTCTGGAAATTTCCAGAAGTGTTTCCCCAGGACACCAAAAGTTTTTTTTTAGGTGTGTTCTGAACTTATGGTATTCTGAAGCTTAGAATAACCAACACTGCATGTTTTCCAGAGGAGCAGGAGGCTTCTGGTGTTCTGGAAAAAGATGTCTGGAAATTTCCAGAACAAACTTTGTATACCCTAAATATGCAGCACTGAAGCACTGAAATTTCCCTTCAATAGTGACAAGAAAAATCTGAAAAAAAATACAAGTGGAGGACAATATCCCCTTTGTTGAACGTTTTTTTCAGAATTCTTCTGGCTCAGTATGCAAGTCATCACATGTGTGTAATTTTAGGTACTTAAACACTACTGCCATATGTACAAGGCTCCAAAACCACCCAAAAAAAATTTTGCAGCACAACAAAGGATGCAAGATCATCTGTACATGGTTTGAAGACAGTGTGTGGAATTTTGATGCCCCTGTGAACCAAGATGCATTTGAACTTTATTTGGCAGACTTTTAATGTTCTAACCTGCATGTATCCAAGACAAAGGCATCAAAAAATCCGAAAGAAACACCACACATCACAAAGGGGATTTCTGATGGGGAGGTGCATTTTTACACCGTGCCCTTTACACCGGATTATTCGGTGTAAATTGAGTCAGTGTAAAAATACAAATTACACACCGTAATTTATAATTTTACACCGTAAATTTTTTTTCTACGCCGGTGTGAAAAAAACGGTGTAAAGACGAAGGTGTAAAATCCTGACAAGAACGGCTGAATTGCAATTTTACACAGTGTACATTTACACCGACACATTCGGTGTAAATTATCCGGTGTAAAATTGCATTTCACACCTCACAAACTGACTTTTACACAAAACCCTTTTACACTGAATATCCCGGTGTAAAATGCACAGTGTAAAAGTGTAAAAAGCCACAGGTAAATTCCAATTTTACATTGGATCCTGCAGGCATTTTACACCGGGTTCTCTCATGCTAGATCATGAGATCTGGATACGCGACCAATGACCATACGTTATTATTACAATGATAACAATGAGACAAAATAGAAAAAGTGACCATGTTTTATTATTACAATTATAACAATGAGAGAAAATCAAAATAGTGACCATGATTACCAAATCAAATCAAATACATATAACAATGAGAGGAAAAACTTAAAGACAAACACAGCCACCGTGTAAACCAAGTTTCCAACGAAGAAACCAGTTCACCAATCCCCTCCTTCACCAACCCAAAAAAAAAAGGAAATTAAGATCAACATCAACGTTTAGGTACACGTTTTCGGATGCCTTTGACCGGTTTTACAGTTTCAGGTATCACAGGTATATCATCCTGAACAGGTTTTTTCGAACGTCGAGGGTTCCTTTTAACTGTCAAGGGTAAGACAGCAGACCAGGCGAAGAAGCAAAAAAGGTGTCAGTAATTATACAAACTAGAGAAATTGTTTGGACCTACCAGGAATTAGGTTCTCTTCGGTGGTGACCGCGAGATGATTAGGAAGTTCAATAGGTACCGGAGGTTGGGATGAGTGCGCCGCCATTCTCACCTTGATTTTCAAGGGATTGGTAGGTGGTATTATCGGGCTTTTCGGTATCAATAATTCCTCCAGGCATTCGTTGTCCGGAAGGGAGGCCAATTCGTCCCAAGCTTGATCATCCTCAGCGAGGTCAATTGGATTTGATGTCGCGGATACTACAGTGGCCACTGTGAGGTCCTGAGCGATGACTTCGGCAGATGGCAACCCACCTCCTACCGGAAAGTCTGGCAACGGCATCGAGAATGGGATGGAATGATGGTGTTGGGGAAATTCTTTCATCAGACCTCGTATGATTTCAGCAATGTGACGGCGTTCTTGTTCAAAAGGGATGCGCGAATAGCACACCCAGCTGGTGTGCGGTTGACAACCACCGATGCTGGTCACGTCCCGGTCCAGAAGTCGAGCAATTCCTTGGTTTTCAGCCTCGTCATAATGCCAAACACCTAATACTCCTTCCACTGACCGCACTACCTTGCACCAGAAATGAAAAGCACCCCAAAAGCCACGGGTCATCATGTAATAATCAACTTCGCCAATCTTGATCCGTGCTGGCCAGTTAGTTTCGCCCTGATACGCGTCGCGCTCATCGCCCTCCGGCATATTCATAACACCTTCTAAAGTGAAGTAAAGATGAATTGGTGCTGATTTAATGTCCACGAGATGAATTTTGATTGTCTCTTTGATCATCGCACAGCCTTCGACGTTATTGCACCGTGGTTCACATACGACAACGTCGTCGCCAACACTGTCACCTTCTTCGTCTGGGTGACACCGTTGGCATACACAGTCGCTGGAGGACAGTCCTTCAGACACCCATCGTTCCAACAATAGACCCAACTGTGCGTAAGACAGTCCAGCTTCGGTAAAAGTATAGGGGAAAACCTGTAGAATGGCTCTTGAAGTCAACGTGCTGGAGCTGTGGTTGATGTTCGCCGTGCATCTCGAGGTTTTGAGTATGGGTAATTCAAACATTGGTCCAATTGAGTTACGACCTGGTCGAAGTAATATTTCCATGACCGCATCTGCAGAGGCAAAACCGTCGACAGGAAAGGTGCCAAGGCCTCGCAGGGCGGTGTGTATCAAATTCTGATAAGTAGATAGGTGCCCAAGGATTGGTTTACCCTGTAGTTGAAGGGTCGAACGTTTGGTGAAGTGGGTATAGATGATATGAATAACTTGAGTCCCGTTGACTGTAGCGTGTCGGCTCCAAAGGGGTCCAAAAAGCGTGTATAGGCACTCGAGCGTCGAAGACTGCCAACAACAATTGCGAGAGCCTTGCTTCGTACCTTTTTTGTATGACTGATACGTAGTCAAAGGCTGGCGCATGACATTCTGAGAGCCTTTGGGTCTTCCTGGTCCTCTTTTCGACTTCTTTGACACATTTCCCAAAAGTTCGTCGGTGGTATCGGGAGGGCGGCCGTCGTTTGCGATGAACTTTCGTTTCGTCGGTTTGGACATTTGCATTCCTTTGACTAGGCCCTCCCAGTTCTTCTGGGAAGAGCCATACGCGACAGAGATACCTCGGTTGAGGTTTTGGTGATCTCTTTCCAAGCTTTGGACAAAAGCTAAAAGTTGAACAATACCGCCAATAACGTTACATTTCCCAGGGCTGGCGATGGAAGTTAATGTTAGAAAGGCTTTGTAATGTGTCATTATGTAACCTTATGCGTACCAAAATAGGTAGTAGATCCTGTGCATGGATTCTTGGCCGTTGGTGGTCGAAGGTAAACCATCATCCCGGCCTCGCTTTTTGCGTTTCCTTGACACATCGCCAGTTTCTTCGCCCGTTTCGTCGTCCAAAGGTGGATCATCCAGAGGCATGCGCTTCCTGGCAGGGAAGAGCATGGCCTGGATGTCCGAGGTGCGCCACCAGTCTAGCCACCTCTTGGCACGAGGAAATGCCCGGGATAATACGACGAATTTGTCATCCAGGGTGTTTCCAGGGCTGTCCGGCTCCATCAAGGCATTGCATTTTGCCACCCAGCTTTTCTAAAAGCGCAAAGATAGGGTTAGTGGGGAGTTACACGTGAAGGGAGATGCATTATAACGTGACTTACCTCGTCCTGCCACGGGACAATGGATCTATTTTTCCTGAGTCGAGTAATAGCCTGGCCAAAGTGCTGTTCGCAGCCGTGTAACTTCGAAAGGGCAACTTCTCGAGAGACATTGAACACATCCATGTAGGCTTCGATAAATCCAGACTTCTGTGCAAGTGAAAAGTCGACAATTTGTTCAGTGAGTCTACTCTTCTGTTCGTCAGACATTGATGTTTGTTTGATCTGGACAAAGAGG